AAAAAAAACAATGAAATCTTGAAATTGGCAGGCAAATGGATGGAACTAGAGGAAACCATTCTGAGTGAGGTAACCCAGTCAGAAAAAGACAAACATGGTATGTACTCACTCATGGATTTTAGAGAAGAGGATTACCAGCCTTCAATCCACACTGCCAGAGAAGCTAGGAAACAAGGAGGACCCTAAGAGAGACATACATGGTCCCCCAGAGAAGGGGAAACAAACAAGATCTCTTGAGCTAATTGGGAGCTTGGGGGAGGAGGGGAGAGGGAGTTAGGAGAATGAGAATGGAAGAAGAAGAGGGGAGAGGAAGACATGAGGGAGCCGGAAGATCCAGTCAGGGGAAGAATAGAAGAGAGCAAGAAAAGAGACACCATAATAGAGGGAGCCATTATAGGTTTGAAGAGAAATCTGGCACTAGGGAAATGTCCAGAGATCTAAAAGGATGACCCCAACTAACAATCTAAGCAATAGTGGAGAGACTCCCTTCCCCTATTATGAGATTGATGACTACCTTATATGACATCCTAGAGCCTTCATCCAGTAGCTGATGGAAGCAGAGGTAGACACCCACAGCTAAACCCTGAACTGAACTGAAATCCATTTGCAGAGGAGGAGGACTGATGAGCAAAGGGGTCCATACCAGGCTAGTGAAATCCACAGAAACAGCTGACCTGAACAAGGTGAGAGCTCTTGATTCCCAGACTGATATTTGGGAAACCAGCATGGGACTGCCTGAACTGAACTGGAATCCAGTTGTAGAGGAGGAGGAGTGATGAGCAATGGAGTCAAGACCAGACTGCGGAAACCCACAGAAATAGCTGACCTGAACAAGGGGGAGCTCATGGACCCCAATCCGACAGCTGTGAAAACAGCATAGGACCAAACCAGGCCCCCTGAATGTGGATGTCAGTTAGGAGTCCTAGACAGTCTGTGGGGCCTCTGGTAGTGGATCCATATTTATCCCTAATACAGGAATGGACTTTGGGAGCCCATTCCCCATACAGGGATACTCTGTCAGCCTAGACAAATGGGAGAGGGCCTAGGCCCTGCCCCAAATGATGTGACACTTTGATGAGCCCCCATGTAAGCAAGAAGGAGATGAGATCGGGGGTCAGTGGAGGCATGAAGGAAGGGAGGGAGAGGGAACTGGGATTGATATGTGAAATAAGATTGTTTCTAATCTAAATTTAAAAAAGAAAGAAACACACCTCAAACTCACAGACAGACATTGCCTCATAGTAAAGGGTTGGGAAAAACTTTTCCAATCAAATGGATCCAAGAAACAAGCTGGGGTAGCAATCCTAATATCTAATAAGTGGTCAGTGTCATTAGGTATCAGATAAACAGAAATTAAAACCACCTTGAGTTTCCATTGTACCAGAATTAGGATAGTGGTCATCAAGAAATTATTAAAAATGTCCAATGCTGGCAAAGATATAGGCAGAGAGGAACACTTATTCACTATTGGTGGGAATGTCATGGTACTGCCACTATGGAAACTAGTAGGAAAGTTCCTTGAAAGGCTGAAAATAGAATTAAAATATGACCCAGCTAAACCACTCTTTGGCATGTGCCTACTGTAGAGACACTTGTTCGTCCATGTTCATTGTTGCCCTGCTCATAATATCTAGGAAGTGTAATCAACTTAGATGTCTATCAAGTGATGGTTGGATAATGAAAATACGGTATATTTAACAATAATATTATTCAGCCTTTTAAAACTAAATGAAGCTAAATACACAAATCAGTTCCGGAAACTAGAAAGGTCTCATTGCGGCAGAGGGAAAAGAACTCTCTCTCTCAAGTTCTATCTTAAGTAGGTAGCAGAGCACAGCTATATGTAGGGATAAGATGTGGAGAGAGATTTAAGTGGGGGGAAAGAGACATGAGATGGGATGGAGAGGGGAAGATAGATAACCAACACCAAGGATGCTTGAAAAAGCAATACAGAAATCTGCTGAACACACACACACACACACAGAGAGAGAGAGAGAGAGAGAGAGAGAGAGAGAGAGAGAGAGAGAGAATCTATCTCATGGTGTGTGAAGTAAGCACACATTTTTGTGTAGGTTCACGACTATCTTCAGCCAATTCTACCACTGAACCACACTCATTTCCTGTTTTTAGCCTTTATTTTATTTTTTTTAATTCTCACCCAGAACTCATGATCCCTCCTGTTTCAGCGTCCCAAGTACCTGGAATTATGGGTGTGCATCTCCAGACCTAGCTTCCAATTTTATTTGTTATTTCTACCTTCATCTGATTGTTATCTGAATCAAACATGGGATTTCAATCTTCCTAACACTGAGACTGGCTCTGTGACCCTCAGCAATCTGTCCTAGGGAGCTCTCTGGGTGCCCTATGGGTTAAAAGTTCTTGAGTGTGTGCAGCGCTGCTCATATTTGCTGCTTTCTTACTGATGTTCTGCCACGGACCGCCTCTCGTGGAGACCACGGACCGAGGGAGAACAAGGGAGAAGGCTCAAGGAGAAATCAGGAATCGGCGAGGAAATGACAGACAGACACACTCAATGTAGTTGAATATGCTGCTGCAACTTTGCTTCACCTCAAGCAGTGCTTATATACTATTACAATCAGGGAACTTGGCAAGGGGGCTACATCACCAGATCATAAAACAGAAAGAAAAAGAACAGCATAATTGTTCTATTCTAAGCATCAGATTGTGGTCATTGCCCAAGGACATGATCTTAGAGTTTTCTGAAATCTGTCTCACACCACCAACCACGTCTCTACCCATTTCCTGATTCTCATGCCACGGACTGCCTCTCATGGAGACCACCGACCGAGGGAGAACAAGGGAGAAGGCTCAAGGAGAAATCAGGAATCGGCGAGGAAATGACAGACAGACACACTCAATGTAGTTGAAT